AACGATTTCGTGATTATGACCTGTTGGCTAAAACGGCCTGCTTTAATGTTGTTTGATTTAATATTCATTAACCTTGTGTTGTCAGTAGCTACATCAGGGCCATTGGCAAGGGACCTTTTAATCTTGAGCCGCGTTTAAGTGACTAGGGAAATATCTGAGCTGTCACTCCTCTCTCCAAACTTCCACTCATGTCAATAACGTTACTTTTAAGGTTAAAAAATAAACGATCATTTTAACGTTAACACAATGCTAGAACTTAATAAACCATTTTTCTTAATTGTTCCAAAATTTAATTCTCAAAAGAAAGAAGGTTTTGATGGAATCAAGACTTGAATCCATAATTCAATAACGTCAAGAAGCCCTTGAACTTCAAACATACACTGCGCTATTAATTTCAAAATATCATTCTCTCACTACAACGTAAAAAGTTTTCAATACACATTGTTTACATTAAAATTGGAATAAATATTTTTTAAAAAAGCTAACGATATTTTTAAGCAACTCATTGTGATTTCATCATCTGTTTTTAATTCAAATTTTTGAAGCGCATTATTTTTCTATACGCACATTTTCTGAGTCAGACAGCCGGAAAAAATTCGCAAACATGCATCAAAGTTTAATTATGACAGCCTGTAATAGTACAAAATCACTTTATCGGACCACTTCTGACACACCGAAGGGGGAAATTCTAACCTGTGTAAACCCAATTTGGAATTCGTTCTAAATTTGTAACACAATGAATACGAACTTTTAAACTTTCATTGTTATGAAAAAAAGTAATAATAGTTAGCCTGTAATAAATAAAAGAGGAAGAAAGCAAAGATCACTTCCGATTTATCTTCCAGAAGTTACAAATGCGTAAAGAATTCTTGACGCAGTATACCAGAGCTTTGAAGTGGCTGCGGTAAATAAGTGGTCAATCACTGATGGCTGTGTGGTGTGTCATGAGTTAGAGCCTTGTGCCGCTGAAGATCCACCGTGCAGAGGGGACACCTACATGTTAAATCAGTCGAAGCTCAAATATCCTCCCACAGGTGTGGTGTGGAAGTTAGGAAAGGGAAGTGCCAGCTCAAGTATTGTCCTCGTCACTTGTCCGAGGTTCAAAATTACGTGATCCGTCACCAATAGCCTTCATGCAGCTTAAAGAGTGACGTTAATATTACTCTCACTCTCACCCAGTCTTCAAAAGAAAAGAAAAAGAAAATCCGTTCAATAGATTTAATTGTATTACAACACCAAATGTATCGTTTGTGGATTAATTAGTAAAAAATTACTCTAAATTTTCTGTTTATTAAAAAAAATTGTGTTTGTGTTATTACTAGGAACCAGCACACTCACTATTCGGGGGCAAGTTCAAATCCTGCTTTCGTCAAAACTTCTTAGGGTGGAATAGTAAACACACGAGATGAAGTAGGGCTTTACGCAGGCCTCCAGTTCACTGCTGTTGTTTTTCAAAACCAGTGAGCTATTTTAGGAAAGTTTGCTTCTTAGAGGGGAGATTTATCAACTAAGTATAAACATTCATTTTTCTACCATCAAAATTTATTTTTTGTTTTGAATTTCCATTGCTTATATTCCTTAACAGATCGGAGTTTCAGTTAAAAATATTCAACTGAAAATTAAACCTGTAAAAATGTTTTTTTCTGCCGAATTACAGAAAAATAAAAATAAAATAATTTCATCGCACATTTTTTTTTTGTGTGTGATTATTTTGAAGTGGGAGTGTGGATGTTTTGCAATACAGCCTTTTATACGTTGAATAAAACTGAATTTCAAAGTCATCCCGTGATGAAGGTTGGATGTACTAACTTAAACGTTATCCTTGTCATTTGACCGTGGTTCAAAATTAAGATTTCGTTTTTTAATAACTCTCGTGTTGTTCTAGTGTAAAGTTCTTTAAAAAAAATACAACTTCCACTTCATACCACGTGAGTCTTTGGAAGTTCAATTGAGTTTAACTCTCATCAGCCCTTATAATTTAGTAGGACAGTTTTAAATTCGATTATAATGCCATTCGTATGAAGTTAGAGACTTCAACCACTTAAACGCTTATAATAAATGAAAGAAATGAACAAATTAATGTATTGGATATAAGAGATATTATTTTATAATAGTCAACACAAACTGAGAAAAGATATTGTTCTCAAAACTTCTTGAACTTTTTTACATGAAATAAAGACTTTGTATCAACTTTATCCAAACACTACTACAATAAGATACAGACCATTTAATAAATGCTACATTCTACAAGATATAATGCGAACTATAGAATTATTTTTCATGAATTCTATTTTTATCAATGGCAAAAACAGAATTGTTCTGTCGAAGCTGGTATAAATGGCAGAAGAAACAATGAATTATACAGAACACTAAATTCACATTAAATTCAAAAGGAATCTAATTCTTTTATTTAACTTGCGATTTTCAGTTATGTAAAGTAAATAACATATATTTCAAAATGAATTGAATATTGAATTACAAATATGAGCAGACGATAAATAAATAATTAAATCTCACGAATTAGTCAATAGCACTGTATCAGTGTTCTCCACAGTTATCAGTTAAACATATATAAATTATTCTAATACTAAAATTAAATAATTATACCTTACAAACGATTTATATCAGAAAAGATAAAATTAATTCTTCAAACGCATTTTAATAGAGATATTAATCATAATATTTTTTCTTGGAAAGGTTTTTGTGAGGAAAAGTTTCATCACAAATTAATAAACTGTAAACAATTATTTTTACTTCCAGTAAAAAAAAAATGCTCTTATGAAAGAAAAAAGAAGTCAGCAAAAACAAAATGAATCATCAAAATGAAAAATGAGTTAGGAGATTTTCGTAAAGGCTTATTGCTACGTTGTAAATTTCGAAGTTTTAGGTAATAAGTTGATTAAAGGCGAAAATAATAGATGTTGATGTTGTGCCAATAGATGCAGAATCACGGGAAAGCGACGGGAATAGTTATTTTAGTGAATATTACACGAGAACAAAAAAAACATAGGAACTCTGATAAAAAAAAATATTTAAGTCTAAGAAATCGTGCATCAGTGAAAATTTTGACACGAGTGTAACTTAAATTTTTCTGTTCAGAAAGCACTACCAAGATTAGAATTTTAAAATATGCAAAATCACGATTACTTTAGTTGGTAAAAAATATTTAAGTGTATGAATAAAAATGCTCAATTTATAAATGATAAAAATAAGGTATCATTTTAGGTTTGTTAACATAATATTTATGTTTCGTGAGAAAAATAAAGAATTATATCTTCCATTTTGCGAACTTAATATTTTTTTTATCGAGGAGATTCGCAGATTTAACTTTTTCTTCTCTGTTGAATGATAATGAAATTATAAAATGAAAATTTCTATCAATTAGAAAAAAAATTCCTTTGATTTGTATAATATTACATTTTAAAATCTAATTTATAAATTAAGATAAATAATAATATTTCAATGTTCTTAATTTTATAATGAAGAAATTATACATTAAAATGAATTTTATACAAATTAATTTGCCCACCAATGACAAATTTTAGAAAACATGCTTTAAAGAATTTCGATTATAGAATATTCGAATTAAATATTTTTCAAAGTTTGTGGCTATATAATTCCACACAAATCAATATAATTTACGAAGAACTTGCACAAACAAGTAATGAAATAGTAAGAACAAAAGAATTCAGCAATTATAGAGATGAAAAAAGAGAAGTTTACTCAGAAAGTCAATCATGCAATAAATATTTAAGAGAATTATTTGTGTTTTATAAAAGACAAAATTCCAATAATAGTTAAATATTCTTATAATTCACAGAATTGTATTTCTAGCTACACGAATATGCTAATAATAAACATGCCAATTAAACGATCCTTTTCAAAGGCATCTTGAAAATAACCGAAATTAATATCAAAATTTCTTTTAAAAAATAACGATAAATATTATAAAATTTCAAAATTCCATGAATTTATTCTATAATTGAATGGAAATTTTTTTTAGTACGGATGTCTGGAGCAAAATTTACAACAAGATTTAGATTTCTTAAAAAGAATTGTATAAATCCGGTGAAAAAGTAGAGAGCGAGAGGAAAGAGGAATAATTTAGTGTTAAATATTCGAAACATCTTATTTTCCCACGAATTTCAGATAAACACGCCTGCGTGTATTTTAAGCTGCACGTTTCTTGATTACGGCAGACAGGAAAGAGATAAGAATAAAAAATTATTCAAAAAACCAAAATTGCAATTTGTAAATTTAGGCTTAGAAACAAGTCAAAATTCTTGTAACAGAGTTTGAAAAATGAATTTTTAAAACATTCTTATAAATCAATCCATCACAATATTTCGAGTGCAAAAAGTGACATTTTGGAATAAATTTATAATTTGATACAAATTTTCAGCTATTAATATTTTTTTCCCTCTTTTCTAAAGGTAATAAAATACACATATTGCACAGCAAAATTCTCTCTTTGTTTACGCAGGCAGTTAATTTTTTTGAACAAATGCACTGAATTACTTTTGAAAACTGTTGGCTCCGGTGGCTTGGAGGTGCATGCTGGTTTCGTAAGTTGCTGTTCATAGGTTGCTTGTTCGTAGGTTAGGTAGGCTGGATTCTATAGATTTCCTGGAATGGAAAATCGTAGGAACGCATGTCATATGATTATGTGGTATATAAAAGATTCCTTGAGTATCAATTGGGCTCTGTTGCTCTCGGCAAAATTAAATCACGGCAATGTTTAGCATCTGACGAAAGCTTGAATTAACAAGAAAAAAAAAATTTTTAAGTCAATTCCTACTTAGGTCAACAAAGAAATTTTTTTATTTTCGTGACTTTTATCAAATAATTACAATTTATATAAATATGTTTATACATATGACAGAATCACAATATTAAGTGGCAAAATAGAAAGCGATTTTCAATTCTATATACGGTGTTGGACTACTACTTTTGTTTGTTACTATTTATTTATTCATCTATCACATTCACAAAAATTAGGCCATCCCAGGTAGGAATCGACCTTTGGATTAGAAATCCAACACGCTATCCATTGCGCTACAGGGACACAACGAGCAATTTTTCTTTTTATATATGGTGTTGGACTATTATTTTTGTTACTATTTATTCATTAATTAAATTTAATGAATGAATTAATATCTGAAAAAAAACTGTATTAATATTAAGTGTCATCCACTACGTTTAAAAAAATGTATTTGAATTTGAGTGGATGAATAAAAAGTATTTTATTAACGATTGAAATTTGAGAACAAGATATATATATATATATATATATATATATAGGGAGAGTGTGAACTAATAGTAGGAATTGAAAAATTAATATAAATGTTCAAATTCGGTAGCGATGTTGCCACCATGAAATGGCTCTCACATTTGAGAAATTGCCGTGCCTGCCTAAGTTGCTAAAATGCAGCCCATTAGAAAAAAAGAACTTTATAGAATACTTTCCATATTCTAGTTCTTATTGATAATATAGTCTTCTACATTCATTCAATGAAGAAATAAATGTTTTTCATATTATATATAGAGTACTTGAGATCTATGAGTGAAAATAAACTCTTGCAAGCATTGATATAACACAATTTGATACACAATCACGTATCACTTCAAAACTAGTTTGTGTTTTTAGTGGTAACAATTTCAGTTTTATTATTCCTTTCGGTCGAGCTCAAGTGTGTGTTTATTCATGTCACACTTCGAAGCAATATGAGGGCTATATGGCGAAGGACTTTTTATTTTCGAACAACAATATTGTGATAAGGATGATACCTGTGCTGGCGCTCCCTTCTCCAAATTCCCACACCCCTGCAGCGAGTTGACTTTTAGCCTCGACATATTTAACGTGAACTAGTCTCTCTACACGGTGGGTCTTCATCAAGAACTCGCGATTTGATAAAGGTGACCACAAGTTCACGACAATGACCATTCGACCAACATGGCCACTCATTCATTCGAGCTCAAGTGCATGTTATCGTTTCTAAATGCACCGGAACTATAAATATCTCTTTTTGTAAAATCATGTAGCTCTTTAAAAAAAATCTAAGAAAACACAAAAAAAGCATCTTTGAAAAAGAAAAACAAAAGACTGATGTGTAATATTTCTTTAATTTAAAATCTACAACATCGTCTCAATGTGTTTTTTAATTTAATGCGATTTTAATGTCGTTTTTGATTTGATTCAGATAAAAAGTTACTCTTCAAAAAACAAAACAAAAAACTATATAGATATTTCTCTCAATTTATTTGAAATCTAGTTCGGACGAATTTTTTAAAAACAGGAACTGAATTCTATTTTGTTTCTTCGCTCGGAACAGTATACACAGTCACAAATGCTCTAAATTTTAATATCAATTTCACTAGATCGATTTTCCGACTTACATCAACATAATTGTATACCAACACTAATAAAGCGTCTCGATGGTGAAGACAATGAAATGAGGACTTAGGGTTTGAAGTTACGAGTTCAAATCTCGATTTCATTAAAGGTTGTCGAGTATAATAAAAAAGATTTTAAGTTTGCTTTTAAGCCTAATGTGGATTAAGATGCCTCAAATTATTTTGCCTGTGAAGCTGAGTAGGATTTGGATTAAAGTCCTCTTAAGATACACGTGGATTATTGGCAACGGAATTCATGATTATGCGGCACGATCAAGTGATGAGGATGCCAGCTGGAGTTATTGCTCTCTCCAAGCTTCCTTATACCACCACAAAAGGACTATGAGCCCTTGCTTTCACTCATTTGGCCCAACGGTATTGTTAGCAATGAAATTAGTACTTGCACCCCTTCCCTTCCGATTTGTATATCGCCATTGTAGCTTCAGGTTTCATTCTCGTCATATGGAGATGTCTCAAAGTGATGGTATTTATTGCCAGTCAACAGTTGTATAAAGCTCTAGAAATGAATTAAAACAAAATTCTGTCAAATTACAAATGAAACAATTCTCAATGGAAGGAAGGCCGTGGTAGCTTCATGTCACGAACTTATGGTCCGTGTGTCATAAGTTAGTGCCGCTGAAGATCCGCTGTGTACAGGTGGGGGGGGGGGTGATGGACGTTATAAACCTGTCGTGACTCCAACTCCTCAAGTTGACGTGGTGTGATAACTTAGAGAGTAGAGTTCCAGCTCACAAAAGTAGTCCTCGTCACTTGACTGGGGTTCAAAATTACGAGGTCCGTCGCCTATAGCCCTTGAATGGCATCAGCTGGAGATTATTGTTGTTTTGGATGCACTTGCAAGATTGCTAGAAAGATATTTTTTGCCCTTCGTTTGCCCTATATGTGTGTTCTTTTTTATTATTCTTATAATTATCATTCTTGTGGCTTTGTACATTTGTATTGTGTGATTGTGTATGCATATTGGTTTTTATACCGGGTGGGCAAAAAGTCCGTATAAACTTTAAAAGTTTATAAAACCCGGAAAATTAAACAAAATAAAAAACGGTTTGAAAGGTTTAGCATCGATAAGTCACGAGATTTTTTTTTTAAGATAAGAAGGAAAAAAACTTGCCGACAGATGGCACTTTTACAAGCGACTGAGTTGGAAATATGCGAACGAGATAGGCCATTACAAATACTGATGCTCTTGATCCGGATTTAATTATCCGTTTTATGCCAACTAAGTGAACAAGGATGCTCAGCGAGAAAGACAAAGCTTTGTTGGTGTCGCTGTTTTTCATGAACAAGGAATCAGCGACTGTTGCACTGCGTAAATTCCGACTTCAGAAAAATGCGAAGACTGGAAAAGGGCCTTTAACAGTGGTACGCCTCATAAAGCTTGTTTAGCGATTTGAGGAAACTGGATCGCTCGAGGATCATATAAGATACGGACGGCCAAGTCTAAGAATCATTAGCAAGCGTTGCAAGTTTACATGGCCACCTCGGTCTCCAGATCTGACTCCAATAGATTTTTGGCTGTGGGGATATTAAAATTCCCGGGTGTATTAATCCCATACATCCAATCTGTCGGAATTGAAAGATGCGATCCACCGAGAGCTGTTATGTACACTGGTGTCCAAAAGTGTTAAGCATAATTGATAATTACGTGAATAAAGAAGGAACTGTAAATCAGAATGGCGGAAAACGTGATATGCGAGTGTAAAATGGTTATAAAATAAGGAAGCAAATTAAAAGAATGATAATAATTAATTTTATTATCCAAAGTAGCAGTTTGAAAGAAAACTGAGCATAGCAAGGATTCACACTTTAAAGAAAAATGAAAGAAAACATTAAATAAAATACTGATGCTGCAGTTTAATAAGGCGTGTGGTCACCTCTGACAGCCAGGCACGCTGCGCAGCGATTTACCATACTTGCTATGAGATAATGAATGAGTTGTGGGCTCAAACGGTTCCAAGCTTCTTGGAGAGCTCTCTTCAGTTCTGTAATGGAACTTGGTGGGTGTGAAAGGGCTGCAATTTGTCTCCCGAGCACATCCCATACATGCTCGATAGGATTTAAATCAGGGGAGTTCGCAGGCTACGACATGCGCTGGATGTTTTCCGTTTCAAGGAAGTCATCAATCAGAGACATGGCGCATTATCATCCATGAATACGAAGTCAGGACCGACAGCACCTCGAAACAAGCGAACATAAGGCTCAAGAACTTCGTCTCTGTATCTTTGAGCAGTCACAGACCCCGTGTCAAAGAAATGGAGGTCTGTGCGGCCGTCCGTCATGATGCCTGCCTCTACCATTACTCCCCTTGATGGAAAATGATGTCTTTCCGTTATGTTTCTTGGTTCAAAACGTGTTCCCCGTTCTCTCCATATTGTTACCCGCCGAGAATCCCTACTCAGACTAAACCGGGACTCGTCACTGAACATCACATTGGCCCACTCTCCTACACTCTAATGTTGATGTTACAAACTCCAGTTCAAACAAGCGCGTTTATGCGCAGACGTGAGGGGAATGTAAACTGCTGGTCTTCTGGCATACAGGCCAGCATGATTGAGTCTCCTGTAAACAATTTGTCTCGAAATTCGTATTCCTGTGGCGACTGTGAGCGCCGAACCCAGTGCTCTGGCAGTACTGCCCATCTGACGTCGCGGACTTATTACCAGATATTGGTCTTGGCGAGGGGTTGTGACTCTTGGTCGACCTGATACTGGTTGTCGGGTAACATCTCCCGATCTTTGAAACATCTGCCACAGCGTTGAGATCACAGACTGGTCGACATTCAGAATTCGAGACACTTCGGTTTGTGATCGTGAGGATTCCAGCATTCCAACGATTCTTCCTTTCGTAAACATGTCCAATTGGCGTCTTTGTGCCATCATTCACCTTGTTTTATGGTTAACAACGTTCCTTCGCACAGCAGTTGCACGAAACTTGTCTGAACTACCTATGCTGCGTAAATCAGTTTCTCCGCGTTCCGACATGCGCCGGTGTTTCGCGCAGGACGTAGTCGACTGAAAAGTTTTGCATAAGCCCAATGTTTCTTCTTCACCCAATTAATATCCGCAAGAAATTTGGAATAATTTTACGAATATTACTCCATGTTTTTCGCATTTTACGATTTATGCTTAACTTTTGGACACCAGTTTATACAGCGGACATTCTGCCGTTGCTGGGTTTGTGACACGCTTGGAATGTGTCATTCCTTGTGGTGGTGGATATGTGGAACACATGCTGCTGTAATAAATAATTTGGTAACGTTACTTCTGTTATTTGCGAGTCGTTTCTTTCCCTTATGTACAAAAGACCACCTATCGGGTGTTTTTTGAATTTTTTTCCCTTCCTTATCTTAAAAAAAATCCCGTGACTTATCGATGCTAAACCTGCAAACCATTTTTTATTTTGTTTCATTTTCTGGGTTTTATAAATTTTTAAAGTTCTTACGGACTTTTTGCCCATCCGGTATATATATATAATTTATATTGTTTAATTATGTATGTATATCGTAGTTTTACCTTTTATATGTAATTACGTATGTAAGTTGTGAGTCTGTCATTAATTTATATTATGTGATTGTGTATGTGTATTGTTATTTTGCCTTTGGTTTGTGTGCTGTGTACTCCTCTATGAAAATGTAAGATTTTTTTTTCGATA